CTTTTACCTAGGAAAAATGAGTTTAAACAACTCTGGATCCTCAGCTTCTCATAGTGTGTTTCTAGGCCAAGAGACCCACTAAAGACACAGATTGGTCATGTTCATATATCACGCTAAGCTGTACTATAGCTTAATGTATATATATGCTGTTTCATGTGAAGAAGGCAACAGCCATTTTGCTCATATCTGGACTTTATAGGTTGGACTGGCAAATAATCCAAGGGTAGGCATACTGTGTCATCTGAACCCAGGATTGCCGTTAAGGTAAAGGTAAAGGTACCCCTGCCTGTGCGGGCCAGTCTTGACATACTCTAGGGTTGTGCGCTCATCTCACTCTAGAGACTGGGAGCTGGCGCCGTCCGCAGACACTTCCGGGTCACATGGCCAGTGTGACATCGCTGCTCTGGCGAGCCTGCACCAGCGCAGCACACGGAACGCCGTTTACCTTCCCGCTATAAAGCGGTACCTATTTATCTACTTGCACTTTAAGGGTGCTTTCGAACTGCTAGGTGGGCAGGAGCTGGGACCGAAAGACAGGAGCTCACCCCGCCGTGGGGATTCGAACCGCCAACCATACGATCGGCAAGTCCTAGGCACTGTGGTTTTACCCACAGCGCCACCCGTGTCCCTCGCCGTTAAAGTATTTCCTCCTAAACCATGATTTGTAGCCAAGGTCGAGGAGGAGAGACTTTAAACGGAATCTTGTGTTTGCACAGCACTGTAAGCTAAATTTTGGTTGAGTTACCATCCTGTGCTGAACTAAAAATTATGGGAGGAGCAAAGCGACTGCGGACTCTTTGTGGGGAACCAGCATGTTTATATGGTCATGATAAGACACACTCTCACACTTACTATGTTGTGAAGACCTGGCCATTGCCTTTTCCCATGTGGATTTCTCAAAAGAGCTCAGCAACAGATCCACCCAGAAAGGAGTAAGGATGATTTGAATCAACCAAACAAATCTTTCTGTGTTGTGTCTCTCTCCATGTTATGATTTGACAGTACCTGATATGATTCAACAGTGTTATGATTCAACAGGCAAGGTGGTTTAGGCTTGATACAAAGCTCCAAGGTCTGCTGAAAAATAGTTTTGAGGCAAACATTGCTCACTTGGGATCTATTCTGAAAGAGGTCGGCTAGCCTGATGATGCTAGCAGTTTGCTTCTGATGCTGATGAACATGTCCATAATTTAAAACCTGGCATGCTGAACTTGGCTGTAGACCTGTCCAATATTTCCACTATACAACAAGTTTGGGTCCTTGAAACAGGAAGGACAGCATTGCTAACTGGAATACTGGTACAGTGGTGCCCCGCAAGACGAACGCCTCGCAAGACGGAAAACCCGCTAGACGAAAGGGTTTTCCATTTTGGAGGCGCTTCGCAAAACGAATTTCCCTATGGGCTTCCTTCGCAAGACGAAAGCCCATAGGGAAATCTCCGGGACAGCGGGGAAGCGCAGCGCGTCTTCCCCACTGTCCTCGGACCTCCTCCGAAGGCTGGCAGCGGGGCGGAGAGACCTCCTCCCGCCACCAGGCTTCGGAAGGCTGCTCCGAAGCCTGGCGGCGGGGCGGAGGTCTCTCCACCCCCCGCCAGGCTTCGGAAGGCTGCTCCGAAGCCTGGCGGCGGGGCGGAGGTCTCTCCGCCCACTGCCAGGCTTCGGATGGATGCTCCGAAGCCTGGCGGCGGGGCGGAGGTCTCTCCGCCCCCGCCAGGCTTCGGAAGGATGCTCCGAAGCCTGGTGGCGGGGCGGAGGTCTCTCCGCCCCCGCCAGGCTCGATGGATGCTCCGAAGCCTGGCGGCGGGAGGAGGTCTCTCCGCCCCGCCGCCAGGCTTCAGAAGGCTGTTCTGAATGTTGGCGGTGGGGAGGAAAAACCCTCCTCTCACCGCAAGCCTGGGAACAGAGGAGAAGCGCTGCGCGCCTTCCCCTCTGTTCCCGTACCTGTCCTGAAGGCTTGCGGTGGGGAGAAAAGCCCTTCTCCGCACTGCCAGCCTGGCAAGCGGTTTCCATAGGAACACATTAATTGATTTTCAATGCATTCCTATGGGAAACCGTGCTTCGCCAGACGAAAAACTCGCAAGAAGAAAAAACTTGCGGAACGAATTAATTTCATCTTGCGAGGCACCACTGTATGCTGCTGATACCAAGTTACATCTCTGAATTTCATCTGAATCAGGAGAGACTGTCCAGGTCCTAAGCTTGTGTCTGGGGGCAGTGACTGGCTTTATTAGGGCCAATAAATGGGGCAACAAAGTAGGATCACATAATGCCAATCCTGAAAGCATGGTACAGTGGTACCTTGGGTTACATACACTTCAGGTTACAGACTCCGCTAACCCAGAACCTCGGGTTAAGAACTTTGCTTCAGGATGAGAACAGAAATGGCACGGCAGCAGCAGGAGGTCCCATTAGCTAAAGTAGTGCTTCAGGTTAAGAACAGTTTCAGGTTAAGAACGGACCTCTGGAACAAATTAAGTACATAACCAGAAGTACTGCTGTACTGGTTGCCTCTGAGCTATTGGTTCCTGTTCAAGGTGTTAGCCTTAGTATTAAAAGCCCTGGACAACTTAGGGCCTTAGTACTTATAGAAGCATCTTTTCCAATAAGCATCTTTGTTGACTTGTGCCTTAAGATCTGTGATGGAGGCCTTATTCATAACCCCACCATTGGGCATGGCCTATTAAGTCACCGCCACAGGGAACACCCTGACTTTGGACCTCTCCCCCTGTAGAATTGTGTTTGTCTCCTATGGTGATGTAATTTCATTGACAGTTTAAAATGTACCTGTTTGCCTGGACCTTTGGCAAGGATGATTGGGGCTGATGACCTATTATTCATTGCTTTTTGTACTGCATATATACACTCTTTTACTGATACCCACACAAAAACGCTTCTCAACAGTATTTTAATTAGATTGTTTTTATCTAATTTTGTACCACTCTGGGCTCCTATGGGAGGAGATGCAGGGTAAAAAATACAATAAAATACTTTCAGGTTTCAAAATTTATTATAGCAACTATTTAATGTTGTCATTGGGTTGTATCCATTGTTAGTCATACTTTGAGTAGATCCATTGAAATAAGTGGATGTGATTAACTTGGAACCACTAACTTTAATGTGTCTACTTGTGAGTAGAATTTAGTTTCCCCTCCATCTGTTAATAGCATCAGGCATAGCTGACAACAAATCAATCAGTGATTTAAAGGCCAAGTGTTGCTGTTAGCAACCTAAGATGACAATAATTTTTTCTGCATACCTACTGCCCCTCTAGCATATGAAGATACTTTATTAATTTCAAGGCAAGTAATATGAGTTTAAAGAAAAAAATGTGATTGTAGAACCTGCAGTTTTAGTGCAGTCAGAAATTCTGTGCAAATGGAGGAACTGAAGAAAAGTAGATTTCAAAGCATTAACGCTGAATTGTGATTTTTCTCCTCATTTGGATGTGTGTGGAGGGGAGGGACCAATCTCTTCACTGTATAAAATGCAGTTTATGAAAATATAGTCAGAGTATTTGAAACAACAAAAAGATTATTCAGTAAACACAGAGCTTTATTTTAATCCTAACCTCTGTCAGTAGGCTGGGATCCGAGACCGTTCCATCCTAGCAGGGAGGCTATGTGCTCCTTCCTTGCTGACATGTGCATGATGGTAAATAGACAAAAAACTGACATAAAAAAGGCCAATAGAAACCAGTAGGAGACCATTGCAACCTCCCAGGAACACTGTTACCGACCTTAAGGTGGCTATTCTTGAGCACAGATACTTCAAAGGGAGACTCCAGTGTGAAACTCCTGAAATACAACTGATAATGAATTTCAGTTTAATCACCTGTGATCTGAATAGGAATAAATAGCCTTTTATCTCACTAAGGTGTTCATTAGCTTACCAATTTCAAGATGTCAATGGGCACAGTCATGATTTCACATAAATACATGTAAGCTGTAACCTAAATGACAGTCTTGAGTTTCCTTCTTATCTCGCTACTAACATTTATTGTGCTTTACACCCATTTGCTGCCATTAAAAAAAATAATCTAGTTTTATTCCTTTTTAATTTTAGCTGGATGCCTAATTAATTACATCATCATGCATTCTCAACCATGAAAACAGAGAGAGAGCTGTCTGTGGCTCTGACAACCCACAGCATTGTTTTCTACAGCGAAACTAATGCATGGAACCTCATTGCACATTACAGATTTCACCACAAAACCTTTTGATGTAATTTCTTAACCAGCCATTTAATCTAAGTGTAACAGGAACAATGAAACACCATGGTGGATCTGCAGCAGCACAACCGGGCACCTTCAACTGCCCCAGCTGCAACAAAACATGTCTCTCCCATATTGGTCTCTACAGCCACAGCAGGCGCTGTGACCTTTCAGCAGTTTGACTTCACCCCCAAAGGTGCACCCCTCTGCTGTCTACCGAGACAGACAGATGCCAACCACCAGAACAATGGGATACGCTTCTTTGTATCACTTGAAATGCCCTTTTCTTTAGGGTTACTTGTAAGAGTATTTCATGTGGCAAAGGCCAAAGGTTCTTGCCAAACCCTTTTAGTTCATGCTTTAAAATCTTTCATGTGGTATTTTGCTGAAAGGTTGCAGTCATTTCGCTTATCTGATTCTGCTTGTTCTAATCAGTTGCACAAATTAGCAGCTGCCGAACATTATCACTGACCATATTAAGTGTTGTAAGAGGCTTCACATCAATGGGAAATCCAAGTCACCCATCATTCCTAGTTGCCTGTAGAAATTTGCCTGCATTAGCTATGCAAACTGCAGTTCTTGGAGATTATATTTTTCTGTAAATGAGTAAAGTCATAAAACTGTCTTCTGGATAATTTAAATCAGTTATTATTAAGCAAGAAAAAATTAGATTAGTGTGGTTATAAATATTTGACATTGTTAAATATTCTCTGCCCCATCTCTGTTCTCCCAACACACAGTGTACTATTAGCAATCTGATATATTGTTGTTTACCTGTGCTTTGTCCTTAGGAGAATCCTGTTCTGGAACCTGAAGGCTGAATTTTTAGGATCCCACATCTAGGATCTAGCTCGGCTGTTTCATAAGGACGGATTTGTTAAGGCAAGTGAAGCCTCTTAACCTCTGTTAAGAGTTTGAAAATCTCAGCTCTCTGGCAGGTGATGTGGCAGGAGCAGAAAGCAGTTTGGTTCCCTTCAAATGCAGCAGGCAGAGAGATTCCATCATTGCTTTGTGGGAGCTGGTAGAAGTGGAGAATGAGAATTCTTTCTAGTTAGCACTAGTTGCAAGGACTGCATCTTGGATTAGCCTTATAAAGATATTGTACACGAGTTGAACTACGCTGGAAAATTGCCAGATTTTAACTTTTATTCTTAATTAACATTAAGCTGGTAGGCTGTATGTTTGATCCTGCACTGGCACTACAGGTTGGGAAAAAGCAATAGTTAGTAATCTGTCATATTATTGAGTCATTTTATTGATTAAATAGTTGACTGAAAGAGAAACAACCCTTTTAATTTCATTCCTGTAGCCATCCCTGTTTCAAAAGTTCAGGGTGGGCAACTGCAGTTTTACATAAGAGATTGAGTTGCATTGCCAGAGAGCTCTTATTCCTCAAAGGTGCAGTAAAAAAGTATATTACAATAACAAAATGTGCATTACAAAGTTAGGTTTTAATAGTGATGTGATGTGAGAATATTTTCCGGAGAATATTCTTTGCTAGAAAATTCTCCGGACAATATTCTCCACAAACTGTAAATTCTAATGTAAGAACCAGTTTTACAACCCACATTTTAAAAATCTAGTAAATAATAAGTCAAGCTGTGATATTGCCAGTGTAAGTAATGAATAATGATTTTTTTTTGATCCAGTTATATTACTGGGCATTGTGTCATTCACCATTGGTAGTTCTGAAATGTGAGCTACATAATTTGATGAACGTTTGAATTCATATGTATTTCAACTATCCGTAATAGCCTCTCCCCCACATTTTGGTGTGACCTTATTCTTAGCAATTCTGTACCCTTGGCCATACAGTATGATTATTATTTTTTTTACAGAAAGTAGCTTTCATGCTTTGCACATTTATAGTACCTAGGCCTATACAATTATGTGTAGCATCATGTAAGGTGGCCTTGATTTAAACAGTTGACGTTTCTATATTTTTATTTAGTGTCAGTAACTGGTTTTTGTAGTGCCATTCAATGGTACAATATTCTCATTAATCGAGAATATTTTTGAGAATATTCTACAAAAGATTATTCTTGAGAATTTAACATCACTAGGTTTTAAATAGAATGATGATGATGATGATGATGATTTATTATTTATACCCCGCTTGTCTGGCTGGGTTTCCCCAGCCACTCTGGGCGGCTTCCAACGAAAGACTAAAAATACATTATAAACACCAGTCATTAAAAACTTCCATAACTAGATAAGACTAAGGAGTTCTGACATCTAATGTGACCTGAGTTCTGGAACAATAACCTTTGAATGCACAGGATTTAACAGGTGCTGGTGTGCAAGACTCATCCCTTGTTTCCACAACTACCATATTTTTCGCTCCATAAGATGTACCTGACCATATGACGCACCTAGTTTTAAGAGGAGGAAAACAAGAAAAAAACATTCTGAATCAAATGTTATAGTAAACTGTTTAATAAACTACCGGTATATCAGAATAATATTTCAACCATGTAAACAGCAGTCAACAGTGGCATTAAGAACCATCATCATTGTCATTAACAAATGAAGACAGACTTTATCCCCTAGTAAGGGGGGCAGGCAGTGGAAATATATGAGCTTCCCACATTGAGTCCCTTAGATCTAAGGACTGTATGGTATGGCCCTACACAATTATTTTAATAAAGCCAAAAGAAGTGGGACTTTATTCCTTTTGGTTCATTGCAGAGAGCTCTGGGGGCTTTCATATGAGGGAGGAATGAGGGATAAATCTGATTCAATTTCCATTTAAAGTTAAACCTACCTAATTCACACCTTTGTACACAACACAAGGACCAAACCACAGCCGCCCTTCAAATTTCACGCTTCTGCAAAGGAAGGCACTACTGTCCCGGCAAAACCAGTGGCGGAGGGAGGGTCTTGCGTGGCAGCACATCGCCTGTGGGGATCTGGTACGTTGCCCACAAGAGTATCGTCCCAAGGGGGTGGCACTTGCACACCCATCCCAATGGGGTGGCTGAGTGCGGGGGCAGAGGGATTACAGAGGTCCCACTGTGCTTGCTTTACACCTATGTAAGCGGCTTCTGTCCCGCTTTGCTGCTTTAAAGTGAGCTGTGGAGGAGGGACGGACAGGAACCATAGCTCCTCCGTGCAGCGTTCGCTTCATAAGACACACAGACATTTTCCCTTACTTTTTAGGAGAAAAAAGTGTCTTATGGAGCGAAAAATATGGTAGTTGTCATGCATGCAGTTTGAGAAATCTGTAATGGAGTGCAAAGCTAGTTTTGAAGGGTAGTATGCTGCATTGGCATCTAAGTTCTCAAGAGTGATAGAGCAATAGAGAGTGACATGCACAACTAACTAATAGACATTGAAATAAGAGTCTAATAAAGTCAGGGTCCCTTCTAGTTTACCATTGATTAACATAGTCCTTTAGATGCTTTACCTATGGGCTCTTTTTCTCTCTTAACTCAAGCCCCCACCAGCCGTGGATCAGTATATGCTATCTTTTAGCTATGTCTATTAGCTATCTTTTAGCTAATGTATCTATGAGCTTTGCCTATTAGCTATCTTTTAGCTATGTCTGCAGAAATGATTTCAGGGAGGTCTAATGCACATCTGTCCCATGCAATTCACACATGATTGACTTCGAAACTACACTGGCCTTTTACCTGTTATCTCGAATGAGCGCATCTGGGACCTCTGTGGACTATTTCAGCCTGTACAGCTGAATGAACAGAGTTGGCACGGGTTTGTCCTGTGCTCTTTTTTAAAGGAATTGATGCAGCACTGTTGTGCTAAACTGGGAAGTGTGCCATACCAGTGTGCCCTTGGTGATCCCTCTGTAATGCTTCTTTAAAGAATCGGGCATACCTTCTGACATGGTTGATTTGGGCCTGGGAGCCGTTTCCCCCTCGGAATAATTCCTGGATGGTTGAGCCATGTACTTTCTTTGCTGGCTTCTTATTCATAGCCACCTGTGCATTTACAGGGAGCACTTCGTGCAGCATAATTCTGTATACCAGAGATTAGTGTGCTGCTATTTATGTGTGTAGCTACAAAATGAGCCACAAGGGATGCTAGCATTTTAAAAGGCGTTGGCATTTTATAAGAATATGCTATACCAGCAAAAATTAACAAAGCTATTACTTTGAGAGGCGAGAACGGAATCCCCTTCAGTCTCACAACCTTTCCTGCATGTATAGGCCAGCAGTTCTGCTTGCTGTGGCAAATGTTCTATCATACTCAGATGAGTGTAATGAACCCCAGCCTTCCTTCCAACCTTGGAGATGGAGGGTGAGGATTATCCTCTTCTTCAGCTTTGGTGGTTGGGAGGAGAATGGTACAAAGGAATGCTGAGGCTACTGCTGAGCTGTCAAGGCACTTGAAGCACCTCAGGGACATATGACAGAGCTTGCCATGCCCATAGCTCTCATGCAGGCCATCTTCCCATCATTATTAATCTCCATCTGCCAACCACCTGTTCCCATTGCTTGTTTCCATCTATTGCATTTTGGTCGCTCCTCGTTTTGTAGGAACACATGATTCTGCCTTACTCCGATTCATTTCTCCCAATTGATCTAATCCAGTACAATCTGCTGTGGGGGTGGGCTGTTGTTTTCATTTGCTACTATTTTATGTATTTTTTGTGCCTCCATATTGTAAACCACCCTGTAATCCTCCGATGAAGGGTGGTATAGAAATTTAATACATCAAATAAAATAAATAAATTACTGATAGCAAGTTCTCAAGGTCTTACGTAGAGAGATCTGTTTTGTTGCTTAGTTGAAAATGCTGGGGACTCAGCCTACGTCTTTTATGCATGCCAGTCATGTGCTGGGCCACTGAGCCATGGCTTCCACCCAAGGTAGCCCTTTCCCAACTACAGTGGTACCTCGCAAGACGAATGCCTCGCAAGACAGAAAACTCGCAAGACGAAAGGGTTTTTTGTTTTTTGAGTTGCTTCGCAAGACGAATTTCCCTATGGGCTTGCTTCGTAAGACGAAAACGTCTTGCAAGTTTGTTTCCTTTTTCTTAAAAGGGACTTGACTTCGAGGAGCAACTCATAGCACGCGGTGTGGTAGCCTTTTTTGAGGTTTTTGAAGACTTTGGTGATTTTTGAAGCTTTTCCAAAACTTTTCCGAAACCGTGCTTCGCAAGACGAAAAATTCGCAAGACGAAAAAACTCGCAGAACGAATTAATTTCGTCTTGCGAGGCATCACTGTACCCATTTCATTCTCTTCATAATAGTCTTTCCCAGTGCTTTTTTTCTCAATAAAATGTTTAGGGGTACTCTCATTTTCCTACTCATATTGAAATGCTGCCCCTCAAAGAGGCCAAACCTAGATTCACAAAAGGTTTAGGGATATGCTTACCCCTGTGTCCCCCCAGGAAAAAAGCACTGGTCCTCCTTGTATCTGACCTTCTCCCTATGCCATACGAGCCCCACAGTTTATTTACCATCTTCCTTCTTGCTTCTTTTCTCTCTCCCCACCCCTATCATTAGTCAGCTACTCTTCCCTGGACAGTTCCCATATCTTTGGTCTTTAGCTACTTCCCCTTCCATTGCTAGCTATCCTTCTCACTCTACACCTGCCCTTTTCACTCTCTCCCCCATCATTGACAAACCGATGTCAGTTGTGGGTACTTCTCCATTTTAGTTGTCACACACTCATTCTGGACTTGGGATACTAACCTTTTGGCACTGTCATCTCCAGCCAATCTTTGCCTTTTGTTTCTGTGGCTCCTTTCCACATGGTCCGTGTCATAGCCTTCAGCCCTATAATCTTGCTGGGCTTCATCACTTCTGAGCTTCAGTTGTGCTGCCTCTCCTTTGCAGCCACCGATGTTCATTGCTCCTTCAAAATTTCTTTGGCTCTTCTGTTGCTTGTTCCATTTTGTGATGTCAACCAATTCATTG